TAATATAAGGAAACTACTAAATAATAATTACTCTATTACACCCCCTCAATCTGTGCAGGGGAAACAACGCGCAGATTGTCTCTAAGAAAAATAAACTGCTGCGGAGAGAGACACTTGGTGAAGATAACCGCAAGCTGAAACTGTGTAGGAACGTGACAAACGATCAAATCTCCATGCGAAACACGTTCTCGAACAAAATGGTAGTCTATGCTGATGTGTTTGCTGCGTGCATGCTGAATCAGATTAGTGGATAAATAAGAGGCCGAAACATTGTCACACAGCAAATGAACTGGCGTGCGAATGGGTACTCCTAACTCAAACAAAATGGATCGGATATGTAGTGTATCCTGGACAGTGTAAGCAATAGCCATGTATTCAGCTTCAGTGGATGAGCGGGAAACAGTAGACTGCTTCAATGAATATCACGAGAGAGGGTAGCAAACAACCAAGAACAAACAGTCTGATCTAATTTCAGCCAATGATAATACTCAGGGTTCATGGTTCGTGTGCGATACAAATCATAGGTATATAATGGCGGAGCAAGTAAGGAACCATCAAGAATACCCAAAAGACCATTAGACACCAGGAAAGACTCAAACTGAGTACGCCAGGGTAAATAATCTTCAACAGCTAGCAATTTAATTGTCACAATAGTTGTGATAGAGGAAGCACCAAAACCCATACCTTGACTGAGAGATGCAAACGAGTTGGGAATCGGCGGGACTTCTCGACGTCCAACCGGGCCAGTGGGTGAAGGCGGAAGAAGACCTGGACTGCCGGATAAAGTTGGACCTCCATAGGTATGGCCTGCGTTGCTGCTGGATTCTCCGACGGCGAAGGAAGGTGGAGGTGGCAACGACGGCATGCTTGGAACAGATGGCGTCCAAGTGAAGATTGGCGGGACCCAAGACGACGGTGTGGAAGAAGAGGAAAACGCCGTTGTGAAACCCGAACGTGGCTGCTCGTTTGAGAGGGAAGACGGCGCCAGCGTGGTAGAGGAACCTACGCTCGGAATGGAAGATGACGTCACAGCGGTGGTGACGTGAAGGCTGGTGGCGGCGGCGGTTTCCTCGGTGGACATAGGATCGAAAAAAAAATTGAATTGTTTTAAAACCCTAGTGCTCTTGATACCATGTGAGAATAATGGAATGACTTACCCCATATGGTAGCCTTGGGTGTATATTATATAGAGAAGTGTTTAGAGTACATTAGTAAACATAATATAAAAGGAATCCTAATACAAGAAAACTACTAAATAATAATTACTCTATTACGTATACGTGTGTGTGTATGTATATCACTGCTACTTTGTGAATGGGAGGAAAATGCAGGTCTGGCTGCTATTTATACTATTAGTTCGAAGTTTCTAGGCTGCAGAATGTATCTTTTCATAATAATCTTTTCATAGTTGGCTTCCGCTAAATAACGTATGTATACGAGTGAATCTACGCATATAATGTAAGTTTCCTTCTTCGTTCTTAACTGAAACTGAGTGTACGCCTATTATTATTAAGAGGCTAATGTTTACATATATACTACTACCAGGCGTTAATATTGTACCGTTGAAATGAGTTAATATGGTATGTGCATGATGTAAGTACGTACATATATGTATAGTTATATTGGTTGAAAAGTCAATTTTTATATACTTGTCATTATTAGTTATATAATGTACATAGTATATCTGCATTCATAATTTAGTGGTGAGTTGAAATTGTACTACCTATTTTGTTACATAATTCTGACCGACATCCTTAGGAAGAAAGTGTCACTTTTGTCATTGAAGTTAAAATTATCTTATTAGCAAATATTATTTATTTTATTTATTCAAATTCTCGGAGTGTCACAAGCAGGTACGGTGATCGGATGACGGAACGAAGAACAGAGGAATCCCCAAGAGGATAAACCTGTTCCCATCAACCACGTAGGCCTAGCCCAGCTCAGCTCCAAGGGACTAAGCTAAAGAGCAGGTACGGCGAGCGGATGACGGAACGAAGAACAGGGGAATCCCCAAGAGGATAAACTCGTACCTCATCAGCCACGTAGGCCTAGCTCAGCTCGGCTCCAAGGGCCTAAGCTAAAGAGCAGGTACGGTGAGCGGATGACGGAACAAAGAACAGGGGAATCCCCAAATGGATAAACCCATTCCCCATCAACCACGTAGGCCTAGCGCAGCTCGGCCCCAATGGCCTAAGCTAAAGAGCAGGTACGACGAGCGGGTGACAGAACAAGGAATTGGGGAATCCCCAAGAGGATAAACATGTTCCTCATCAAGATCATCGGCCTCGCGCAGCATAAGACCAAAGGACAGCATGGTGGTTCGAGGATGAGATGGTTGAGCGAAAACGAAGACCCCTAAGAAACGAAGACCACTGTACGTACTCCATAGTGGCAACATACGGCTTCCATGCTCGGGGCACCTCGGGCGGCCAGCCAGCACATCTGGAACCCTTTGCCCGACAGGAGATTATTATCTTTCACGGTACGATCTGCCCCTCAGCGACATCGTATCCTGCCCACGAACGACTCGTCCATGCCCCCCAGGATGACGACCACCGTCTTATGTAGTACGATCGGACCCTCAGTGCCATCATATCTAGTTCACAGTCAGGCTCACTGTGCAGATAAAGGTCATGATCGGGACGACGGATAACGAAGGATGCTTAAAATGAATTTGGGGAGGAGTATCGTAGCAGAGACAAGCATCTCCACTTCAAAGGCCGAGGGTCTGGCGATAAGCATCATCCACGAAGAGCCTCACGGCTGAGGGCCGTGAGACGGCCAGCATATCCACAGACTAAGCCTGCCAAGGCTGAGTGTATCGAGGTCATGACATCCCAAGGAGAACCAGCCTGGCATCTGGAGTACGAACATCCCAGAGACAAACAACAGAGAATACCCTCCCTCTAGACGGGAAGACGTACGTCCCCAACGGCCGTTTACATAGACGACCGGGTACAAAGATCCAGTGAATAAAGCAAGACATTCAAAGATCCAGAATACAGCAGGCAATCTTCGCATCACGGTCGTCCCCTAAGCCCAAGCTTTCTGGTGTGACCCCTGGAAACAGCCCAATGAAGAGAAGAGGTTCGTCCCCATGGCACCAAACCCGGAAAGAAGATAACTGCATTCCAAGGCCCATCTAAGGGGACGTACGTCAGGAGACACGAAATGCTCATCGACTTGGGAGGCGCCAAGGGCATTAGCTGACGATGTACGTCGGATTCAATTCTACTTCCTTATGTCCCGTGCATGCTCAGAACATCAGAAGTGGGGGACTTGTGTTGGGTTAATGGCCCAATGAGGGTTGGCCCATAAAACCCCAAGGCCCGCCCTACGAACGTCCCCAGAAGGCACGAAACGACGAGCTACCTTTCTGCTTATCCTGGCGAGGTTCGTCTCCAACAGGGTCAGGCCTCAACATAAAGGCCCAGGAGACGTCCGTATTCTAGCATAGGCAGGTGCTTCGACCCAGGGGCAGCGGCTGACGCACGTCTCGCAGGGCCAGCAGGCCCAGCACGCCCAGCAGGAAACAAGAGGCAAGATCATGGGGACGAACGTCCCCACCCCTTGGTGGGAAGCCAAGATCCCAACAGGAAACATGAGGCAAGATCATGGGGACGGACGTGTTGGGCCTTATTCTCCATCTGTTTCACCTCATTCTCCATTCGAAACCCTTGGGTCGCGTGTTGGGTCTGCGGGTTGAAGGAATAAAACTCAACAATATATATATATATATATATATATATATATATATATATATATATATATATAATAAATCACAAAAGTGAATCAAAACATGAAATAAAATGTTCATAAATTAACTCATGAAGGCACTTTTACCAGTTATACACGCAATGCACTGGTGCAGTTTTTACCATAAACTATGCACATTAAAGTACGTATCCCTTAATTAAAATTTTGCTACGGCACCTTTTGATTAAAAAAAACTCATTTAATGCACCATCTAAAATATTACCGAGTACGTAGCAGATGAATTTTGTTTTTTAAAATCTTTTTACTTTTCAATTCCAGACGAGACAAGGTCAAATAGATTAGATAAGATTATGAGACTAGATCAGACTATACAATACCAAAATTCGATAGTTATACAAATACATGAAGACCAAACATTTATCAGAATTAACTAATTATAAACATCCTAAAAGTCAAATTTCGTTCCCGTTTTAATGAAATTATCAACTTTTACTCTATGTTTAGGTAGTGATTGCAAAAATTAAAAAAAAATCAACTTTTGTCTTTAAAAAGCTGAAATGAGTTTTTTTCAAGGTATACTTTCTGCTTAAATTATACACTTGAAAGCTAAAAGTTGAAAGCAAGTTGAAGGGTGCTTTAAACTATTTTTCACACTTTTTACTATACAAAAAACATTTACGTTACCAAACAGTACTAACTTTTATTTTTTCAGAAGCATCTTTTGCTCAAACACTATTAACTTTTACAATTAAGCATTTTTCCCAATATTAATTTAAGAGAAAATTCCCTAAATATGATTAAAAAAATTGAAATTCCAAATAGGAGTAATTTTTGTCAAATTTGACATTATCGCACTTTAAACATAACAGTTTTTTTTGAAATTTAGCAAAAATTATTCCTATTTAAGAAATAAAAACACGACGATCCTATTTTGGAATTCAAACCGTTTTTACTCCTATTATGGAAACTCCTATTCAAATGTTGGTCATGTTGCAAAGAACAGCCGTGGTATTGTGGATATCAGTTTTGTCCTTCACTTCCCAAAGGCCCAAACCACTGGCTATCTTTACTGTTGGAATCATTAAATAATTGGAGTTTCACGTTTTGCTCCCTATGCACCTAGAAAAAATGAATTAAAAAAGGCTATCCTGAAAAAAAAAAGGTAACTGACCAAAACAACCGGCCTACCCCACGGCAGAAAATAAGGGACCCCGACAATGGTAATCCTACAAAACCATCAAATGTTCGATCATTTATACGAAGTATATATATGGGTCTTTAGCCTCACCATATCTTTATCCAAACCTTCATTTTCAATTCTCTCCATTTAGATTACCTTTTCTTGAAAATTCATAGCATCATAATAATGGCTTCTCTAGACAAGTTGGCCATGGCCAAGCGTTGCTCTCATGGTATGTTTACCAGCTTTAATTTCTTCCGCCATTTTTTATGTGCTCTATCAAGTAGTAGACTTCAAGTTTGACTTCAGGATATCCCAATATTCCACAATCAAGTTCTCACTTCCATCTATTATTAATTTATTAGTAAGAATAATTTTTAGTATACACAAAATTTGCACACAAATTGTACACTTCTTGTCTTGTATACACGGGTATTTTGTATAAAATTCTACCATTTTTCAAACGAATTGCATGTGTACACATACTACTAGAAGGATTTTGTACAAATTGTGTACATTTTCGTGTACAACAAGAATTTTTGTATTAGTAATGCTTGAATGGTCAATAACTCGTTTACATACCTATATTTTTAACAAATATTCTTTAAAACAACATTTTTAGAGACATGATATATCGATGATTATCCTCCATCCGTCTCATTCTACCCGTCTCACTCTACTCGTCTCACTTTCCTTTTTGGAATGATCCAGGATGAGTGTCACATTTCCCTTTTGAGAAGAAATATAATATGTGGTATACGTATTGCATTTCATTTTGTTATACTTAAATTTTAACCACATTTTTTACCTTTTGAACCATTTTATTAATAATTGTGTGAAATCAAAGTGGAACACATTAAATACTTCTCACCCAAATAAATTTAGACAAATGGGCGTGGCACAAAAAAAACTGGAAATGTGATTTAAATATAGAATTTGAAAAAAGTACTCCTCCGTCCCGAAATTATCTTCATTCTTTCCATTTCGGTCCGTCCCAAAGTTATCTCCTCTTTTCTTTTTTGGCAAAGAATTTTTGGTTCACAATCATTCTTACACATTTCTCTTTCCTCTGCACAACTCTCTACCACACATTTTCCACTATATTAAAACCCGTGTCCAGTCAAATAAGGAGATAATTCCGGAAGTACATGATTATTGCCAAATATTATCTGTAACAAATATTTTAGAACAAACTAAATAAAATGAAATACATGAATAATTTAAAGACTGTTTTTAGACATACACAATAAGAACTTGGAGTCTTGGACTATAATTAGTTAATAAAGAGTGGTTGTGCAGAAGGGGTAGTTGCTGGGACAAAAGCAGCAGTGGTGGCAACAATTGCAACAGCTATTCCAACAATGGCCAGTGTGAGAATGCTGCCCTGGGCAAGAGCCCACCTGAACCCCACTGCCCAGGCACTCATAATCTCAACAGCTGCAGGCATGGCTTACTTCATCGTAGCCGACAAGACGGTTCTCGCCACCGCCCGCCGCAACTCCTTCGAGAGCCGCAATGTCTCGGGAAACATCGAAGCCTGAGCGCGCGCCCCCGGCCGCGGCTAGCTCGAGATATATATGCCCCAAGTAGCTAGCTATATAGGGTGCAAGAAAAAGTGAGTAGTGAGTGTATGTGGTGACCAACATGCATGCCTTGTAATATATAGTTGGTTTCCCATGGCCATAGACCATAGTGTTGTTGTTGGCTTTGTTTCTGTTTGATGTATCAAATGTGTTTTCGAGCATCTTAAATATGCTCTTGTTATAAAACAATCCATACTGATCTTCTTGTTCGACAGATCGATCGAGGAGAGATGCATGAGGATTTAAAATAATTCATGTAAAATAACTGTATCTTCGAATTAAACCATTGATGTCTGAAGTCTTTCATGATTCACCCGGTCATTGATGAGATGGGGAAGGATTTGGAGCAGGTGGGGCCCAAAAAAATTGATAATATATACATTGAAATGTGTAAATATTGACAAACTATAAAATAACAGTAACGTATGATGCATATAAATATATAAAGTTTTTGCCACTTTTAATCCCTCGACTATTATGTCAGTGACACTTTTGGTACTCGATTTTTAATTTTTCCATTTTTAGTCTTCGACTATAGTGCAAGAGACACTTTTGGTACCCGACTTTAAAAAATTTCATATTTAGTCCTTCGACTTTTGTAAAAGTGACATTTTTTTGTCCTTCAACTATTCAATTTTTGGTCCTTCAACTAAATGTGGGAAAATTGAAAGTCGAGGACTAAAATTGTCTCTCGCACAATAGTCGAGGACTAAAAATGGAAAAATTAAAAGTCGGATACCAAAAGTGTCACTGACACAATAGTCGGGGGACCAAAAGTGGCAAAAACTCTATTCACAAATGTTTCTGATTTCACTCCGAACTCGTGTACAATTTGATGCGATCACATCTCGCTCTATTTTGTGCCGTTGAAAGCGTTTAATATCTCGTTGGAAAGATCTTAACGAGTTCTAAAACATGTCTTCAGACGCTGGTTTCAAAATATCAAGGAATGATGGCCTAATCACTAAAATACAATGTATTTACGTTAAAAGTGCTCTATTTTCGCTGAAAACGCTAAATCTTAGAGATAAGGCTAAGTATTTGTGACACTCATATATTGCTGTGCGTTTATCTGTTTGGAGCGTATTATATCTCGTTGGGAAGATAGATCGGAGCTCTAAAGCTATTTTTCCAACTTCATTTGCCCAACAATATAAAATTGAGTTAATTCCCTATCTAGGAGTAAAATTTGTTATAATTGAACAAATAAGACTCATAAGTTCCGTAAGACTAAATGAACTAATCTTTATCAATAATAAACAAAATAAAATAATACGGAGTAATAAAAATGTGAGACATCCAGCACCATAACAGAACCACACACAATTATCCTTGTGCAACATCCACAACCACCACCGGCACCGCTGCCACCGTTGCCGCCGCCACCGCCGCTGTCGCCGCCACCATCACAGCCGCCACCACCACCAGAGGTGCCAACCCATCTGTGACCTCATCCAGCCTTGCTGGCAGTTGCCGTCATGTCCGACATCATCGCCGCCACATCCGACGATGCCGCTGCCTCATTCAACACCACGATGGCACCCTCTGGCACCGCTGCCTCCGGTGAGCTATCTTGCAGTTGTAATGTCATCTTAATGACATTAGCGTCATCCTGACAGAAATAAGATGACATTTTCGAATTAAAAACATGGCATTAATGTTTTTCAAAATGACTACTATTGCCATTTTCGTAATGTTGTGCCAAAAAATGTCACTTGAAGTGACATTTTCAGATTCAAAGTAACAACATATATTGTAAAGGTAATCTCATAAAAATTAAAATAGTTCTGAAATTAATTTTCAATAGATTATGTCAATTTCATATTAAAAAATTAAGAAAAAATCAAACAATAAATATCAAAATAAATAAAAAAATCACGAAAGAAAACAAAAAAATTGGTAGATAATAAAAACTGAGATGCTGGAAGAGGAGGATGAAGGAGGAGAGGGGGAAAGAGGGGGGGGGGGGAGGAGGAGGAGTTGTCGCCATCCACCAGTGGCCGCTCATCGTTCGCCGCCGCTCGCCGCTCACTGGTGGCCGGTGTTGGGTGTGTTCCGGAAAAAAAGGAAATTAATTAAAATAAATTAATTAAATAAAATGACTAGAGAAAACCAAGAAAGGAGATGAAGCAGAATTAGTCAAAGCTCGTGCTCCCACGGTGCTAGGAGCGTTGCAACAATCGTTTCCCAGGATACGATGACTACGAACTAATGTTTGAGCACACAAACAAGAGTTCTAGCGAACGAGAACCAAGTATGAACACGGAAGGAATTTGCAGAGTAGCTGGAGGTGTTTTTTTTTGGCTCAAGAAATTCGTGAGGAATGTATTGTGCGTTGTCAAACCGTGTGTTTGTTGCAAAGCACCTGCCAGCCTTTTATAGGAGAATTTGTTGTGTGTTAAATGGGGTGTAATGGACCTGAACGTTGGACATCAATGACCAGTCCGTTGGGCATTGATTCATCCATAAACTGTCTATTTAACGCTGCATTAAAAGATAAGAACGTTGGGCATTTAATGGCTTGGAGCAGTTCTGGTGCGCGATCAGAATATCTCCACTAGAGTTGGAGCAACTCTGATGCGAAGCCACCAGAGTTCGACCAGAGGTCCGCAGGTCGCCCGTGCACACGATTCACGATTTTTCTTCTCCGTTTCGGGATTTGATCGGCACCCCCTGCGCGTAAGGGAGAGCCTTTACCCTTAGGAATCTTAACTCCTTAAAAGAGGCTTCCATTTATAAGGGGGTGAAAATCCCTTCAGTTTTTCGGTGTGGGATAAAACACACTAGAAACCCATCATTTTCCCAGTTTTTCCATTTCAACGAGTGAACTTCGAGAATCAATTTCTCATTCACCCGTTATCCGTTTTGAGTGTACCACATATCGAATTGTAGCCCTTAACAAGGACAATCCGAAACCACTTTGACCCGACCCAAATCGGAAGTGGATCCACTCAAATAATTGCCCCAAAATGACCATTTAATGCAATTTTTAACACATTTTTCCAACAATCCCCCACATGAATGAAAATTGATTTTCGAGACTTAAAAAGACACGAATATAGGAGGACACGTTGTGTTCACCGGATGATCCTTGCATACGGAGAGGTAGGTTTTATCCTTTGAATTAATATTAATATTAATATGGTTTATTAAAAAATAAAGCTAGCAACGGTTCAAACATTTGTAGCAAGATAATACTATTATTAATATAGTATAGTAATAAATATGATTATAGCATCTTGCAACGGATGAAATTTGAACAGATTGTAACCTTTCATTAAATTGATCGATTTTAACATGTTGTAAAAGTTTAAAGATTTCGAGGACAATTTATTTGATTAAATAAATGATAGAATATGAATAAAAGAAATAAAATATTTATTCATTTGAAATACTCCTAATTTTCCAACAATCCCCCACATATTTCAAATGAATATTATTGAGATTTTGAAATTCAGTTTAGAAACTTTCTGCTGGATTAAAGGAATGAGACTTTAAGTTTGGTGTCCGTAGACTATGAACCAAACCGAGACGATTAAGTCTTAATAAACCGAGCTTTTGGTGAAACGTATAGTTTCTTGAACCAACAAGCTAGTATTGGCAAATCAGGGTCTTAACGGTCGTGTCTCACCCCGCACAATTTCTCGTTATTACGCCGTTGTGCGCCGTAAGGCCATGCGCGTGCTTGGTGTTCATGAGTGCTCTAGAAGTTTTGTCATGCTTCATGGAGGCGGCCCCACCTCACACTCATATAGGTGATATCATCAAGTGTGTACCGCTTTTGCACACCACCCTAAAATTAAGGGCTATGATAATCATTAAGAGCTTTTAGCTCACCCTCTCAAAGAATGCGGTTTCTAGCCTATATCTCACATCATGGAAATGGGGAATTTTAGTTAGGCTAGCAGAACTAAATGGAAGACTTGCTATTACCCATATGAACTTGCTTCATGGGATCTCCAATCACACAAGTTGGGTTCCCATCCCCATCTGTTTCAAAGTGACACTAGTCCCATTTCCTTCGATGTTTCGGTTATCATTTTTCGTCCTAGGGATTCTGTCAAAGGAGTAGCTAATTCCTTCTGACTTCACAAAATTAATGGAAATAATTCCATTCTCAAACATCATTGCACCACTTTTAAGGGTGAATGGATATCTAATATTTTAATTTATCTCATTTGAGTATACTCAGATGTCGTCGTTGTATCTCGGCAATACAACGGATAACTTTCAATAAAATATATACCATCATTGTATCATTATAGTACAATGGATAATTCTCATATAACATCATTGTACCGCTCTAGAACAATGAATATTTCTCAATAAAACGTATCATCGTTGTATCAATAGATTACAATGGATAATCTCAAAAAAGTACCATAATTAATGGTACCTCTCAAATATCTCAATAACCGCCTCAATGCAGTCCAATGATCCCTACTTGGGTCATGAGTATATCGGCTCAATCTTCCGACAACACAAACTATGTCGGGCCTAGTATAATTTATAAACTGTAATAAACATCCAATAATTTGAGAATACTCATATTGAGCCTCACGATCACCTCTATTTTTTTTAAGTGCATATGAAAGTCATAAGGGATACTCACGGGTGTGACACTAAAATATCCAAACCTCTTTAGAAGTCTATCAGCATAATGCTCTTGAGATAGTATAACATCATCATCCTTCCTTGTGACTTTCATATATACCCAAAATCATTTTTGTTAACCCCAAGTCTTTCACACTAAAATTAACAAATCATCTACATACAAGCAAATAATAATGCACACACCATTTTCACATTTAGCGTATTTACACTTATATCTACTTCTCATAAGCGAATAACACTTCATCAAAATTTTCACATTTGTGTTCCTAATGAGTAACTACATGACTTTCCGGTTGCACCATATAAATTTCTTCCTCTAGTTCACCATTTAAAAATTCAATTTTAATATCCACTTGATGTTTTTTTAATCTGCTTTTTGAAGAAATAGCTTGTGAATAAATCAAAATTCATCATCAACAAGATTAATAAGATATGAATAAAATCATTTCCGAAGGATTTCTCTATCATTGGCCTCTTACTTCTTCTCAAATGAGAAGGTTCATCATTAAAAGAATAATTTTCTTTTAATGGATCACTATCACTAGAGGGTTCATCATTAAAGGTTTCATTTCCTTGTAATGGATTATACTCACTATATGGTGCAACGGTCTTGTGTTCAAGTTTCAATGGAAACACATTTTCAAAGATTTAATATTTTTGTTTCAACAACATATAAACAAATAATCATGCATGCATCATTTAGTGTGTACACATTCTCCAAAAAAGGTCACATTAAAATCAAC